TGTCCTGCTGTCCTCATACATGTCCTGCTGTCCTCAAACATGTCCTGTACCAGTCTAACATGTCCTCCTGTCATATGCTTTTTCTAAATCCACAAAGACACAATGGAGTTCTTTCTGACCCTCTCTGTTCTTCTCCATCAGCATCCTCAAAGCAAAGATGGATCTGTGGTGCTCTTTCTCTTCATGAAACCATCCTGCTGCTCACAGATAGTCACCTATCGTCTAAGTCTTGCTTCCACAACTCTCCCAGATCTTCATTGTGTGGCTCATCAACTTAATTCCCCTGTAGTTGCTACAACTCTGTACATCACCTTGTTCTTAAAAATGGCCACCAGCACTTCTTCTCCATTCCTCAGACATGTTCTCACCTTCAAATATGCCATTGAATGTTTGAGTCAAAAACCTCACTGCCATCTCTCCAAGACATTTCCAAACCTCCACTGTCATCAGGTCCTACTGTCTTCCCCTTCTTCATTCTTTTCAGAGCTTTCTGGACTTCACCCTCACTAATCTTTCCCACTTCCTGGTCCACAGTTTCTATGACCTCTACTCTTCTTTCTCTTTCATTCATTAGCTCCTCAAAGTACTCCTTCCATCTTCCCGTCACTCTCCTCACTTGTTAGAACATTACCATTCCAATCTTTAACAGGCCTAACTTGCTGCACATCCTTTCCAGCCTGATCACTCTGTCTTGTCAATTGGTTCAAGTCCTTCTCACCCTCTTTAGTGTCCAGTCTCCCATACAGCTCATCATACATCTTCTGCTTTGTCTTAGCTACCTCCCTCTTTGCTCTACGTCCCATCTCCTTATATTCCTGTCTCCTCTCTTCAGTCCTCTCTCTGTCATATTTCTTCTTGGCTAACCTCTTTCTTTGAACATCTTCCTGCACTTCACTATTCCACCACCAGGTTTCCTGATCATCCATTCTCTGTCCAAATGACACACCAAGTACCTTCCTACCTGTCTCTCTAATTACTGTTGCTGTAGTAGTCCAGTCATCTGGAAGCTCTTTCTTACCACCCAGAGCCTTTAACAGCTCCTCTCTGAATTTATCACAACATTCTTCCTTCTTCATCTTCCACCATTTGGTCTTCTTCTCTGATTTGACTCTTTTCCTCTTCTTCACAACAACAGTCATTCTACACACAACCATCCGATGCTGTCTGGCCACGCTCTCCCCTGCCACAACCTTACAGTCTCCAATCTCCCTCAGGTTTCCTCTTCTACACAGAATGTAGTCGACCTGCGTACTCCTTCCTCCACTCTTATAGGTCACTCTAGGCTCCTCCCTCTTTTGGAAACAGGTGTTGACTACAACCAGCTTCTTTTAGCCTAATTGGGCAAACATGTTCTTTCTGCTTTCTTCTGTTAATTTAAGCTTGTTCGACCTTTTCAGCTACCTTGTTAAAATTTTAGTCCAGTTAATTTATTTCTGTTAATTTGTTGTGCTCCTTTTAGATTTTTCTGCTAGTTTCAGTATCTTCAGCTATATAGCTTTTTTTTTTTGGGGGGGGGGGGGGGGGGTGCTGCGCTGGCTGTTTTTTTTTGGCTTTTTCAGATAATTCCTCTTTTTTTAGGTCATTTGGGCTCTTTCAGCTTCCTTCTGGTAGGTTAAGCTTCTTTCTGCCTTTTCAGCTACTTTTCTTTACCTTGTGCAAATTTCAGATTTTGTTTTAGTTAATTTCCTAATTTTTGTGCTCATTTGTACTTATTTAAACCTAATTCAGCAAATGCATGTCCTTTCTGCTTTCTTCTGCTAATTTAAGCTTGTTCTTCCATTTCAGCATGTTTTTATTTAGCAAATTTCAGCTGTTCTTCTGCAATAAGCATTCACGCTGCATTTTTGCAGGAAATACAATTTCTCTCGTTTATATTTCCGTTTTGTCGTGATGTTGTTACAGTTGTCCATTCATGTGCGATTCGGGTGAAAAGTGATCCTCCTTGGAGCTCACAGCTTGAAGAACGTGCAGGCTGACTGGAGCCAGAGTGAGTCAGAAACTGTTGCTGCTATATTTATGACACCAGCAGGACTCTGATGAGATTTAGGTCTGCTGTGATGAAGCTGTGAGCCGCTTG